TTGCCACCAAAAGAGTTGTAGCTATTGACTAGCCTACTAACTAGAATGTACCAGTAGTGGCTACCAACGTGGGAGAGATTGTAGTCGGGCAGTTGTAACGAAAGATTTGCAACGTGTCGGCAGGCTATCAACGAGGGAAGGGTTGTAGTCGCCAGGCTACAACCGGTAACTTGTACCAGTACTGGCTACCAACGTGGGATAAGGTTGTGGCCAGACAGGCCATCGTTAGGCGATGGCATTGCGTTGTGCGATTAAAAATAGCGTGCGTTCGGTTACGGCTTTGCGGCGGTTGCGTAAGGTAAGAGAGCTCTCTAGCGTGCGACCAAAGGTACCTCGCGACGTAATTGTACTAATATATCTTTTCTTTCAGCCTTTCGCTTGTCATTATTTGTTTATACTAATTTTCTTTAAAATAAAGCGTTCACTTGCCCCGGCTTTTCTCTCAATTCCGTGAGAGTTTTTATGCCGAGGCAAGCAGCTCTGTGCCGCGTAAAACTGTCTTGATTTATTTATCTATTCTGTCCTATCTCACTCATTCCAGCGTCAAATCTTTCTTGATTGGAAGTCTTCTTGATTAGATTATTCTCGACATTTTCGGTCACATATATAATTGCTACAAACATCTTGCATGGTTTTTTTTCTTCATTTTTAACTTTGTATTCTAGCTTATCTTTTTTTTTAAATTGCTTCTTTTTATTTGTTATTCCTTCGAGCTTTTGTAATTCATTAATTAAATCTTTTGTATTTTCCATTTCATTCCTGTCAATTTTCTCTCTGATAAATTCTGGCAATCCACATGAAATTCTATCTATCATTGTATCAGCGTCCATGTTCTTATTTCTTTCTAATATTAGTCGTTCTTTTTTCATTGCATATTCTACTAGTGAATCTTCTTTGTACTTAAAATAATGAGCGTATATTTTGCTACTCCATCCTTTACTTGAAAAGGTTTCTATTATTACCCGTTTCCATCCGTGCTAATTGTTTTCATGCTCTCCTTTTATTACTGTAGTAGTTTACCAGTCTTGGTAATTTTCTTCTAAAAATACCCTCAATGGTTCGATTTTGGTTTCATCTTTTCCTATTTTAAATCTTCCACATTCTTTCTCAAATGTGTCTCACCATTGTATGATATTGGATGTTCTATAATTAAACGTTCCTAATACAAATTTATCTATAATATGTTTTAACTTTTTTCTTTTACTTTTGTCTCTGATTTTTCAATTAATTTTTCCAATATCTCTGCCAAGTCTGAGTGTTCTTTAATATTCTCTTGAAATGTTCGTTTTAAATATTTTCCTCTTAACTGGATATTCCTTTCATCATCTGAATATATTTTTTGCAATCCTTCTGATAGCGTTATCCATATTTTCAACTCATCATGCCTTTTTCCTAATTAATTTTTTACCTTTTTGAAAGCATCCTTACTTTGTAACTCCTAATGAAAACTTGCATAGATGAGTTCTTCGGGTATACTTTTCTCCTTGTTCTGTAACAATTGAGGTTATGGTTACTACTGTAGTTCTACTATCCTTTAGGGAGGCCATATCTTTGAACTCAAATTGTAATCTTATTTTGTGACGAAAATTATCGTTTTATAATATCTTTCTAGATTATAGGACTTGGAATGGTCAGAATAAATCAACTAAATTAGTTTATCTGTAAACAAGAGTTCTATATTATATCCAATATTTCTAAATACTATTTACAATGTATCCTTAAAATTACAAGTTACCTGTAAGTAAGAGAAACGACAATTAAGGTCAATTATTCATCTCTTTCTCACAACCCTGTTTTAATCACTTGTACCGTTTATAAAAATAATTATCTTTCTGTAACGGGTTTTTTATATTATCCACGTCATTAATTATCTTTATGTTTACTGTTATTAAAGAGGCGCGCGGAGCATACTAAGCGCGCTGAATTTAAAGAGAGTATACTCTCTTTACATACATATGTTTTACTCGGTAAAGTATTTTAACTGAACTTTAAGCTATTCTACTTACTAATGTTTGTATTAATATCAGGATGAATAGAACGATTGTAATTCATCGATATACTTAATTTTAAATCAGAAAATTGTCATCATATGGTTAAGGCATAAAAATTCGCACAGCATCTTATTCAGTTTATTCATTTTCAACCTAAATTGATGATCACTATAGAGAAGAAATGAAACGAATTAAAACCAATAAACAATAATACATACCTCAGGTAATCTCAAAAAACTAATAAATAATAATACATACCTGAATTAACCTCAAAAAAGACTTTTATTACTAATATTCACAAATATTCAATATTTTTAATGATATTTTTTAAGATATTCACAGTTTCTTAATATCAACCACCATCGTATGTAATAATTAAAATAAACCAGTGTAAGAATAGGAAAAGTGTCTTTGTTAATTGACTCAGCAGGGCGTGCTTAGCAACGGTTTAAAGAGTGGGGAGGCGTGATAACATTTTGATATTCTCAATATTCTCAATATTCTCAAAATGATTGAGGCGGGTATTTCGAATATACGCTAAGAATCTATAATCGCTCTAATCGAATCTATAAGAAATGATATATAAATCGTTATCACGTTGAGTGCTACACGAATTCTGAAGGAAATCCTCGTCAGGCCACGCTAAATGTAAGGGAGATATATCGAATTCCTTCATGCCTTCATGCGTCAACGGCCATGGCACGGTGACTGCACTAGCCATTAAGTCAAGCAGCGCTGAGTACGATTAGTACTTGGATGGGGAAACCGTTTGAGAAAAAAAGCTATTATAACAGGACAAATGTCCTAATAAAAAGAGAAAGAAGAAGAGAAGACTTCATGCCGTAAATTTGAAATCGCTTTGCTTGCGCATCGTTAACATTAGAAAGACGGGAGCTTAGTATATACCTATATTGCCTGAAAGCAGTCAAAATGACTGCATTGTGAAAAAATAACTGATGCGCAAAGAAATTTGTTTAAAAGTATTTTTTAATATATTTTATATCACTTTCAGTTATATAACAAGTTATTAATAAGTATTACCAATAAAAAAAATGTATTTCAGTTCGAAAAAAAATAATTTATACATTATCTGGATATTTCAAGCAAATGACAGTGCAAATCATTTTGGATGTACATCGTCCACAAACATACTTTTGACATTTTTGACAAACATTATTTGTTTTGTTGTTGTGGCAAAGTCGTATTTGACAAATTTTTCGTTTGGTTGAATCTCTGGTACTTGAAGATGTTGCAGTTGATACTTCTGAGTTTTCCTGTTGTGATGAATTTTTCTGTCTTTCGGTTGTGTAATTGACGGAAAGCTGTTCTGCTAATTTAAATAGGAACTGTTTTCGTTCTATTTGTATTCGGGTCACTTCTTTATACAGGATCCAAGCATTTATTGCAGCCAAATCTAAAATGTTAAAAAATATTTGGAGGGGCCATCTACGCGAACTAGATTTCACCGTGTATTTTCTGGCCATTTGATATGTCATATCGACTCCAAATCTCGTTTTATTATAAAACTGAATAGAATCTTGTAAAATTTTTCTGTTACTCTTATCAATTTTAACAAATTTATGCTTGGAACTTAGAACAGCCACTCTTTTGTTCGGTTTGCTTTTATATATTGTAAGGACAYAATTTTCTGATCTATATAGGAGAGTGGAAAAACGAGGCATGTTATCCTTCGATTGTTTGGCTGCTTAGGGTAATTCTCTTTTATTTCCTCTAATAGTTCCAACTAATGTAGTTTTTTTGACCAATAATTTCGTCGCTAGTGACATGCTCGTAAAAAAGTTGTCGGTCGTGACATTTCTTCCATAGCCTGCATATGGTTCGACAAGTTTCAGAACAACGTATTCGTTTAGAAGCATTGACGATGGTCGTTGTTCATCTTTTCCCAAGTAAGCAAAACCATTTAACACGACTTGCTAGTAACGTTTGATGCCAGCCAGAATTTGATGCCAAATTTATTCGGTTTATTAGGCATATATTGTATAAACTTGCACCTGGCTTTCGTTGGAAATAATTGTTCRTCAACTGTTATGTTTTGCCCTGGTTGATAACAAGCTTGACTGTTTCAATACACTCAGTGATCTTTCTTCCCATCTGAATTAYGTTATAGCGCGTTCAAAGGGAACAAAGCGCGTGGCCAGGCCTGGCATAAAGATTCGAATAACAAGTACAAATAACAATAACAATAATTTTAGTTATTGAACAATTGCAACTTATCAAATATGTTTCGAAATCGACAATTTTTCATGAACTTGTATGTTATCATGTTATTTCAATTCCGAGCCGAACTGGTCTTTTCCAAGCAGTCAAAATGACTGCWCTTCGGCAATATAGGTATAACACACATATATATACCGGAAATGAAGGAGGGGGGGCAACAACAATGATTAATTAACGCATCTATATGTTGTAGAAAAAATCACAAAATTATAAGAAGCTGTGTTATTATTTAAATGTTTATTTTTTTTAATTGAAATTGAAAAGCAGTCAAAATGACTTGCTTAGGCAATCTAGTGTTAATACTGACAGACTTCGTAGTGTTGATTTTTCGTGTCGCTGTGCGCGCGCATCGTAAAAATTCTCTCTCATCACTTTTTCCCAAACGCGTCAAAAGAAGTTTAACTTCACAAAAACATAATGTTATTAATAAATTACATTGCATATAGGCAGGAGATACTCGTCGACGTCGTCGTCGTCGTCGTCAAGGAGTTATGTTGATGCGCCGGATCGTCATCGTAGAGAAGAATCATCCTTAATTCCATTTGAGCGAATTCTGAAAGAGATGAATAATATTGATCCAAAAACAAATCAGCTAAAAGACAGATCAGATGAACTGCAATCTGCTGAAGAGGATAATATTAGATTGACAACAACTACACAAGTGTTCAGACAACTGCCAGTACATAACGAGAAGCAGCTCCTAAAGTATCGGAGGAAACGGTGCTGGATGAAAATATGCTAGAAGCATTGGGAAAGCGGTTGGATGCGGAAAAGAAAATAGCTCCAACAATCCATAATAATTTATGCTTATGCTGGAAAGAAATTCTAAAAGAGGGTCTTCCAAAAGAGGAGCGAGAAAGACTTTTGAGTAAGTATCTAACCCTAGAGAATTATTTGATACTGGGGCCTCAAAAAATAAATGCTAAGATTAAGGCATCTCTTTTGGAACCGATACTAAACAAAGACAAGAGGCTCGTGGAAAAACAGCAGAAAATTTACGCATGTTTGTCTGCTCTAGGGCCTTTAGTTTCTGATCTCTTGAGAGAGAAAGTACGTGATACTCCTAAAATGGTTGGCGTGCTTAGTAATACGGCACGGATTTCAGTGGACTTACAGCGTGATGAACAAGGCGTTTAATAATAACAGAGAACATCAATCCGGCACTAAAAAAGATATTAAACTCCACAAGCATGGATGAACAGCTTTTTGGGAAAATTTTGGAAGAGTCGCTGAAAACAGTCAAGTTAATTGAACGCTCTTCAAAAGAACTAAACCGGTTAGTGAGACAAACGTTATTATAAAGTCAAAAAACTCGGAAGTCCACTTTCAGCAGGTTTCTCGAGTGCGAGGAATGAGTGGGGGGGGGGGAGGAGGATCGAGTCGGTACAAGACGTTAGCGATCTACAGTCAAGGGTCGAGCCAGAGAAAACCCTACTTTCGAAAATCAATAGCAGCAAAGGATCAGAGGCGGTACAGGAAGTAACTAACGAGGTCAGTTTACCAGCAGGTCGTTTTAAAAGATTCAGATCGGTTTGGGAAGGCCTATGCAATGACCAAGTAGTAATTGAGTGGATCAAAGGGTACAAAATACCATTTAATCGAAAAGTTACTCAACCTGTTCCTCTTGAGGAGCCATGTTGGTCAGCAAATGAGCAACAGTTAATCGTTGAGCAAATTAGTAAGCTTTTAGAGAAAGGTTTTATTAGGAAGTGTCAAGATTCACCCGGTCAGTTCATATCAAAAATTTTCCTCATTCCCAAGCTAGATGGATCTTACCGTCTGATCTTAAATTTGAAAAATTTCAATGAACTTATTTCGACGGACATTTCGAATTAGAGAATATAAGGAAGGTTAGGGACCTAATGAAGCAAGGCTGCTATATAGCAACACTGGATTTAAAAGATGCGTACTACCTAGTATCAATAGATATCCAATATAGGAAATATTTGAGATTTAGATTTAATGGTGAACTTTACGACTTCACGTGTTTGCCTTTCGGGCTAAGTACGGCACTTTATGTTTTTGCAAAGATTTTAAAGCCACTGTTTGCAATACTGAGAAGTCAGGGTTATATCTCAGTGAGATATTTAGATGATGCGTGGCTTATGAGCAAATCAAATACTGGGTGTTTAAATAATTTGAACCAAACCAGTGGGTTATTAAGAAGTTTAATATTTATAATTGTTGAGATGTGTACATTGTCTATTGCAAGGTTAAATGTATGTGCTGTAGCGCAAGAGCATGTGTTGGTGTACTACTGTTCGTGAGAGAGACGCACACATGTAAGTCTCCCCACTCTAGTCCATGTAAGATTAGTATATAAGGGACAGCGATTAGCTGTATAGGGCTCTCTGTTAGAAAAATTACTNAATTACTTAGTTAAAGTAAAAGTAAYAGCACGTGGCACGGAAGAACTTGTAATAGATATAATATATAGATTTATTAAACTTTTACCACCCATATTATAAGATATTTTTCCTCATTAATTTAACAATAATAAATGAGGATAAAAGTCAGCTAAGACCTTCGACATAATGCAAATTTCTAGATTTTAAACTAAATTCAGTCAGAATGAGAATTGAACTTCCAGATTCAAAGAAAGATACGGTTAGTCATTTAGTAAAAAATTATAAGAACCTACGAGTTTGTAAAATTCGGGAGTTTGCATCTCTGATAGGAACTTTGAATTCTTGTTGCCCGGCTATGAGATACGGATGGGTCTATTTGAAGAACCTAGAACGCGAGAAGACTCGGGCGTTAGAGCAGAACGGTGGTAATTATGAAGCTCGCATGAAGGTTCCGGCTTTTTTACATGAAGACTTATCCTGGTGAGAGTCCAACATAGAAATAGCTTTTAGTCCGATAAGGATGCCAGAATTTTGCCTAGAAATATTTAGAGACGCATCGCTCTCAGGCTGGAGGGGTTATTTTAATGGGCAAAGTACTTTGGATTTTCGTCTCTTACATTCAATCCAAAGAGAACAAGATCGCGGATCAAGAATCCAAAAGATTAGAACCGAGAACAGAATATGAGCTTAACGAGGGAGCTTTCAGGAAAATTTGTAATAAATTCGGTAGTCCAGAGATAGATCTGTTTGCTAGCAGAATATATTCGAAATGTCGAAGATATATCTCATGGAGAAAAGATCCTAGAGCGATGACAGCAGTCACATTTACGGTTAAGTGGAACTCATGGTTCTTTTATGCGTTCCCACCTTTCACATTAATTCCTAAAATTCTGAGCTAAGTATCATATGAAGATGCCCGAGGAATCCTGGTGGTACCGAATTGGCCTTCTCAAACCTGGTACCCACAATGCATAAAAATGTTTGGAACTGAGCCAGTCATTTTCAAACCTAGCAAAGATCTTTTACATGCTTCTGATAGGACTCCACATCCGATACGGCGACAACTTTTCCTGGCGGCAGGAGTCTTATCAAACAGGCATAGGCGGTAAGAGGTATGCCAGCTGAAGCTTTGGACGTGATAGCATCCTTGAGTGAGTCATCAATGCGTCAGTATGAGGTAGGCCTCAAGAAATGGTGAGATTTTGTCGGATAACACGGACGAAGACATTCACTGCTAAAATTTCAGAAGTATTGAGATTTTTATCCAGTGAATTCGAAAGAGGGGCTGGTTATGAATCCATTAATTCTATAATGTCAGCAATGGCGCTGCTGTTGGGTCCAGAGATAGGTCAAGACTCAAATGTGAAAAGGTTTTGTAGAGAAGTATCAATATTAAGACTGGCACAACCTAAGTATGATGTTACGTGGGATCCTAAGATTGTCTTGAAATATTTAGGTGCTTGGTTTGCTAACGAAAAATTATCGTTAGAAAAATTATCTTCGAAGATGGTGATGCTGTTAGCATTGACAACGGGGCATAGAATGCAAAACCTGGCTTCAGTTGACGTTAGAAATATTAGAGAGTTAGAGGATCAGCTGGAGATAAAGATTCCGGCACAATTAAAGTCAGCAAAGCATACTAAAAAACAACCGTCCTTTGTTCTGCCGATCTTCTGGGATGACCCTTCCGTCTGTGTAGTTAGTGCTATAAAGCAATACTTTATCAAAATTGAAGAGTTGAGAGGTCGAGAAAATAAGCTGTTCATATCTTGGAAAAAGCCGCACAGGGCGGTTACGTCTGAGACAGTCAGTTGCTGCATAAAGACTGTTCTAAAAAAACAGTTGAGTTAATACGGACATTTTCACAGCATACAGCACTCGTCACGCGGCAACATCATCAGTCAAGAGAA